AGTGAGACCCCCATCTCTACTAAAAATAGAAAAATTAGCTGAGTGTGGTGGTGCACACCTGTAGTCCAAGCTACTCAGGAGGAAGGAGGATCACTTCGGCCAGGAGTTTGAGGTTGCAGTGAGCTATGATGATACCACTGTACTCTAGGTGGGCAACAGAGTGAGACTCTGCCTCCAGAAAAGAAAAGAAAAGAAAATACAGGAGAGAGAGGAAAGGAAGATCTCATGAGAAACATGAAAGGGAAGACCAAAGGCCCAGGTGAGTGAAAACAGAAGGTTCACCATTGCCTTTGAGGTGGGGAAGGAGGAAAAGTTGAGTGAAGGTACAGATGAGTATGTAGATACAAGGGCAGGATGGTAAATTTTCTTTCTCACCTGAGAAGCAAGACGATCTTCTAAAATAGGAGGGTAAGCATAGGTTTGGAGCCTTTCAGAGAAGATTTGGCAAATATATCGTGAGAAATAAGGAAGCCAACCAGAAACTCAAAAACAGTATATCAGAGTTGAAAGCCGAGGTGAAACTGAAGATCGTACTCTGAGAATAGCCCCAATTGAGGTCTGTCTCCAGCCCCACCCAGAAGCCTGTGTCTAGGAATGGAAAAGGTGGGTGTTAGGGATTTGTAGGGCATGTGAGGGAAGAAGAACAAAGGGTCAAGAATGTTGAAGATACTGGAAACAGAGTGAGTGAAGTGATGAATCATGGGATCCAGGCTAGACAGGTGGTAATTAGGCCAAAAGAGAGAGGCGTCAAGGAGATCTGGAGTCAGTATAATTGGAAAGAGGAACTGAAGTTATAGTCGGATTGGACATTGGGGTTTAATATTTGAGAGAAACAATAGCTCCTGGTGAGGCTGGGTTGATAGTTGCGTTGTCCACACAAATATTAAAGACACTTACAAGTAAGAAAAGGGATAAGATGAAGAAGAAGGCTAAGAGCCAGAGCCCCCAAATCCTCAGTTAACAAGAATGGGGTGTAGAGTGTGTGTGTGTGTGTGTGTGTGTGTGTGTGTGTGTGTGTGTGTTGGCGGGAGCAGAGGCAGAGAGGGCAGAGTCAGGCAGAATGACCCCTTGGGAGGAGGGGTTTTTGCCTGAAGGTGAAAACAATGGAAGTTAGGACAATGCCAACTTTGCCTTCGGTCACAACAAGGAACACGAGATTAGTTTCGATTCAATTCAGTAAAAAATATATCAAGTTCCCATCCTGGGCAAATACCAGGAGCTATACTGGGTGTTGGAGATCCAGCAGTGAACAAGGCTGACCCGGCCCCCACCTCAGAGCTCACAGTCAG